GCGGTCCTATCAGTGAGAACCTTGCGCTTGCGGCACAGAAACCTATCCGGCAGCCCGGCCGGATAATACGACATTGAAAATTTCATTTTCATGAGCAAAACTGTGATGTCTTCTAGGGGAGAAAATGTTCACGCTGCATTGATTTGTGCACGAAAACCTCCAGGATGTTTCAGCATTTTCCAGTTTAAAATGTCCTTTTCTTTGCTGATTTGTTATTGCTTGAATTCATTGCAACAAGCCAATGAGCGACCTCTTTCTAGTAAGGGAGCGTTTCATAATTGTTGAAGGCGGTATTTACTGCGGTACCGCTGTTTTTTTAGCGGCACCGCGCTAGTTACCTGAAAGGGCTTAATGCTGGTACCGCAAAAAAAAAACGGTACCACAGTAAATACCGCCTTCTGTAATTATGAAACGTTTCCTAATATTCCGCACATACAGCAAAAGTTAAGTTCAGTGATATTTAACAGCGGAACATATCAACTAACATATCTTGCCTGACTGACATCTTAGAAACAGTGTCCTCCCTCATGGTGTTTAGAAGTGCACTTTTCATTTAAACCCAATTCATAAATACCTCAGACAGTCTCCCTATTCAACAACATGCAACTTGACCATGCATTAACATTTAATAACGCCCACAGAGAAGTGATAATGCCCGCTGCATACATCACATGCTAGCGCCTAGACATAAGACAGTATTTAATCCCTTAATAATATCAGATTATTTTCATACACTGAAGTTGAACAAGACTATAAAGTTGCACAACCACTAAGAACGAACCTGAAACATAATGACGTCATGCTTTATTTACATGAGCAGTTTCCTGTGGGAGCTTGTTGTACTGTGTCCTACCTCACTGCAATAGCAAAAGTACACATGTAAACAAAGCATGACGTCATCATATCTCAGGTCTGTTGACTCCTTATGCCAAGTGCATGGGCAATATTCCAAGGCTGCATCTGCATTACTTTGTAACACGTTAACAGAAATGGAAACCCTCGTCAGAAAGGCAAAATCTGAAGCAAATCATCAATGTCTGCCCGGTTCCCTAACATATTACATAACTGATGTTTTGGGGGTTTTACTTCAATGTTTTCTTGCACACCTCATTACACATAGATTGTTCTTTTATCTATCTTAAAATCTACAGTCTCTACCCTGTCCGTTACACATGTACAGGCATATGCATGTCTTGTTGAGGTCAATTTTTAGGACCCTTTGGGTGCGTTCCAGCGAGCTACTCGCGTTGACATGAGTATACTCCTGAGCGTTTGAACGGCTGGAGTACGACCTGAGGGTCGGCGAGAGTATACGCACGCTAGAGGGGGAGTATACTCCTGTACCTGAGTGTAATGCGCATGCATCCTACTCGTGTTAACAGGAGTAACTGCGCAAATGCACCCTCAGAGGCTTTGGAGGCTTAGTAGAACTTAAAAAAGTAATTACATTCCCCTCTTATAAACCAGATTCTCATCTTAAAGAATATTTCAGAAAATTTTCCATCGAATGAAAGCAACTGGGTTGGGACCGATATAACATGGCCGTCATACCCAGACTGTTATCTTATGTAAGCTTGTGTTGTTGCTGTTTGACTAGCTGGTACCAGTGCAGACATTCTGCTTCTGATCACAAGAATAGTCTGTATGATTGCAAAGTACATGTTATACACTGGGATTTTTGGACAAAAATACATATCTTACTTGTGTACACGTATGCAAGAATCAGACAGAAATGCGAATCTGACCTGTGGTGCTGGGTCGAGAATCGGTGACACAAAAGTACATTTTGACACAGGGTCTAAAACTGACAGAGACTAATCCAGTTAGGTCCATTTATGCAAGGCCCACTGAGGGCAGTGAGTAAGAACAGAGACTGGCATATGCATGTGTGTGGGAAAAGAAGGTGCAAGTCTATCAGTGGAGGTTGCCAACGTATGACCAAGCACCCATGCTACTATCTGAAAATAATCCGGCGAAGTACATGTAACCTCTTGGCTAAAGTAGTCATACTTGGATTTAATACATAATGCTGTACTTCATATATTAATCCACCATTTTATCTACAATTTCTGTTGAATATTTAGTAGAGCAAAAAACATCTTCCTGAGATTGTTGTTAGCATGTACACTGCGCACAAACGTGCATGCTACATGTTAATATGCATTAAACTCACACAAACATTGCTTCTAATGAATGCAAGTTATGCAATGCGATTTTATTTCCCTCTCACTCTCACTACCGAGCTGAAGGCTGAGTGGTTATGTGGGACACCAACGCCCTATGTTATTCTGTGTTTCACTTGCATGAGCTTGATATTTCTAATATTATTTAAAGGCTAAAGAATTGGGGAGCACCAACAGAACCAAATGCAGCTTCAGCAAATAAAAACAAGGAATTTGTTTTTGTTGTCTTTTCTAGAACACCTGCATTTTTACACGGACAAATTCACTACAGGAAATCTGCAAACAATTACTTACACTTTTAAGAGAAATAGTCTCCCAACACAGTAACTTTTCATCTCTTGAATATTCTACGGTTTAAATTAATCACGTGAAACATTCATATCTGCGTAACACACAGATTAGATGTCAAAGTAAAGATTAAAAGCATAATTGCTCTAAAATTCCACTTCCAAATTATTCATGTACTGATCTGGTTTCAGATATTACACTAACAAATGTCATTGGTTGTTTGAAAGATCTATAAAAGAGACAAAACATGGGGGAACCCTCTGCCTGACAATTTGACAGGGGTCTCAGAATTCAGGAAATTTCAGCATTTCCCTGAAATCCCCAAATGATGCAAATCTTCACTTTCCCGACAACTCAGCTCTGGCAACTCAACCCCCTCAGTGACTAACTCATGCTAGAACATCCGTTTAGATCTAACAATCATCGATAATACATGTACATGTATGTACAACATCAAAGTGTCACTAGTCTCTGGATGAGGTGCCAGACCATTGCAGGTTGCTCACCAGTTAATGCTGGTATTCATTTGTACTCCTGGGTGGAGACAGGCAAACAGGGGTGAAGAGGCTTGCTGAAGGCCACAACCTACGGCCAGCAGCTGGATTCAAACCACTGACCTTGTAATCATTGGTCACGAATCCTAACCACTAGGCCACACCCATAGTTAATTTATGTCACTACGTGCCTGCAGGCTGAAGACAAGTTCTCGAATCAAGATGACACACATGCACCATGGTCCTTTCGATATGTATCTTTGTTGGGTTACAGAGTTTCCATTGTATTTATCAGCTCTGGTTTGAGGTACTCTCCTTCCTGCACAGTCCCTTGAGCTGCAGTAATCTCCGCCATTATTGCTGCGTCCCATGAGAAGTTAACAACGGCTGCTGGTGCCTACCACGCAACGAACAGAGAAGTTGTTACTGTGCTTCTTTTAAAAGTGCCTTGGGCAAGTTATAGTTATTTTTGCAAGTCCGAGTCAAGTCACAAGTCATTTGGTCCAAACACAAGGCAAGTTAAAAGTGTCTTTGTTAAAGTCCAGGTCAAA